ATGATAAATAGAAATATTTGAACATGAAATATTTATAAACAAAAGAACTTCAAATTTTTTGCATCATAACTGTTAGCAATCATTTCCTTTGTTGATTAGATTGATAATTTTATTATAAAATGATCTATAAATATATTATAATTTGACAAAACATCTTTATGATACATATCATGTTATATAAATTGCCATATATAATCTACTAATGTGACAAGTAAATGAAATACGATAACCTATTATGGAAAAATACCAAAACTCTAGTATACGAAATAAGTTAATCAAAAAACATATGAAACAAAATTTAATCAAGAATTCAGATTCCATTGTCATTTTACTTAAATTTATATAACAATGTTCAAGTGTTTGAGTTTTGAACATTCTTCTAGATTTTTGTATAAAAATATCTTATGATTTTTCTCTTCTCCTTATCATTTTCAACTCCATATTGATAAAACCTTTTTATATACGGCTTGTGGCAACATTCAATCCAATCGTACAAACTTAGTCAAATTTCATAGGAAATTACAGATTTTGTCTTTGATTAGTTTCAAAAAAAAGTTCTTTCAATTTTCAATTTTTTTTCAATTAATCTAATAATAATAATTTATATTTCACAAAACAATATGAGAGTGTTTATTTATAAGATTTGATTTTTTTTAAATATTTTTTTCAAATATTAGCTTTGATAATTTTGATAAAAATCGTAGTTTGTATCAACTTTGTAAAACTTTTATCAATTTTTGAAATTTAATTTCAATCTTGCATCGTGTACTTTACTTTATATCAATCTCAACTTACTAACTTGCATTAAAACTTTATCAATACAAATGAAAAACTTAGCCCCGATTACAATGTTTTTTTGACAATTTTTACTAAATTTTTCAGATTTTCCATACGGCTATTCAAAATCATTCAAATTTTTCTATCAATTATAAATTATATTTTCAACCTAGAACTGTGAGTTGTACATAAATTCAAAACTTAAAAAAAATAATCAACTTGCAGCTTAAAAAAAAGATTAGGTTGTAAACTTTCTAAAAAGTCAAATTAAATTGTTACAAAAATTTCACAATCAATCAAAAAGAAATTGTCAATTTAAATTATACTTTTGAACTCTAAGAACTAATTCATTTGTTTCAAAATTTTACTTTTTTTCCTCCTTCTCAATCAGTTTTCGTATTCTTCAAATTTTTTAACCTCATTTTTCTTACAATTACAACTGAAAAATCCATATTCAATTGTCAAATACTTATAAAAATTTTCGATTTGTCGATCTATCATTTGTAGCCATCATTGGTTTTCAAATAACAACTGTCTTCCCACCACAAGTTTCTATAAATCAACATATGTATTGTAATCACTATTTACTTTATATACTCATCACTTTGTCATTATCTTTACAATTTTTATTTATTTCTTTTATTGTAGATTGAAATCTTTGTAGTTTTTTAAATTTAAATTCAATATATGAAGTCGTTTTTGTAAATTATGAATTCTCTATTTTATATAAGTTCTTATAATTTTTTTTCTATCAGTTCTTTCTAATCACTTTAAATAACTTTGTGCTAGCATTGTATGGCCATTTCAAATCATTTGATAGTGATATATTCTCTTTATATCAAATTACTTCATATCAATACTAAATCATCACTTTGAATCATTTTGTATACTGCTATATTAATCATCTTTTAGTCAGTATTTTAGAACTAATATAAACCTTGTGTATTAATACTTATTTTATCATTACTTTGAATTTTTTTTAAAGTTTAATTTTTTAATGATCTTTGATCATTTTGTACCTTATCACAATTTTGACCACTTTATACCAATAATTATCACAAATTCAAATCATTTTGTATCACTTTTTTGGATCGATATTTTATCATTAATTAGATATTGATGGAAATTATTATTTTATTTTATTTTAAATTTATTTTCATCAATATTTTATCATCAACTGGAATTAATTTTACAAAAATTACTTCAAATAATTTTATGATTGAATTTTATTATTAATTTGAATCACTTTGTATGGATTATTTTGTATTATGGATTATAATCAACTTATATCACCATTATCAATCATTATGTGTCAATATTCTATTTTCATTTTGACAAATTTTGTATCCATATCGCACAAATTTAAATCACATTTAAATTTAAACGCATTCACATCTTTCTTATTTATTGTTGTAGCGTTGTAACAAAACTACTACCCGAAAAATATAAAGAAGTAAAGATGGGATGTGTTAAGGTGTTGGATTTTCTGGTTGTACAAATAGTGTCAAAGTGGTGAAATCAGCAAGTACAAATATAGTCAAATAACTGCCAAAGTCTTGATATGAATTGGTTCAAACTGATGAGAAAGTGATGTTACAGAAATTTTCTGTCCTTATTTATCCACTGCTAGTTCCCCCGTCATGTCATACTTGTGAAAGTTTTCACTTTCATTTGTCATTTTTTTTTCGCTCTTCCTACCAAGATTTCTTTGAATTTTGAGGGTTTCAGTGAATTCTTTGCTTGTAAGATTAAATATCTGATGAATTCTCTTTCTTAATATTTAGGCTCCGTGAGTCAACTTCTTTGAATCTGTTGAAATTTAACTTTATCAATTTCAATACACATCTTTGTTCGTCTTCGAACCATCACACTATCCCATTCCATAAGACTCTTCGTAGCAGGATTACCACCGCATTGAGAACTGTTAGTATCACATTTTTTACTTCTTTATGTTCATTTGTTCAAAAGCAATTGAACACTTTGCCCCATCCAGTTTTCCCGCTTTAGCTATTAAAGAAGGGAAATGTCACTCGTGTGGTAACAAGTGGCATACAGAATTTTTAATGTGACAGAGTTTTAGATTTAAATAATCATCATGTGATGTACAAGGGAGATAAACAAATCAAAAGCCCTGTTCCTTAGACATGTTGTCTCTAATAAAATAATTGAATAAGTCAAGATTTATTATAAACTCAATTGTGTTTATGATTTTTTCAAACTATTTTCTATAGAGAGTATTTCAAGACATTATGTCACACTCCACATGGTTCAAAGTAAAGTATTCTAGTAAAAGTTTATTCATATAAGCTTTTACTTTTTCATGTTTTGTCTACAGGGTGTATACGTGTATATTTTGAATGAGTATTCTATTTCAAAATTTTCCCATACTAACCTTCATTCCATTGTTTCATATATTGACAATCCGTCTTGCAAATTCTGCAACATCTAGTGATCTAACTGTCCACTCTAGTACAAAGTTTACTAACAATTAAAAATTTTCAATTTGCAGTGCTTCAAAGCAATCTCTCAAGACTTATCTACATATAATATACTCATCATCGCATAGTAAACTCATATCATCTATTAGCTAAAAAATTATTTTCATAGATTATAAAGTGGCTTGTGTAATCAAATCTTTTACTTGTAGCCGTACCACAGCACTGCGAGAAGTAGCAACAAGAGTGACAAAGTGAGACTTGCTAAGAATCCCCATTAACATGTGTAGAGTAATATTTCATGATATATCAATAATATCTGTATTTTGTGCATTAGGTATTTTTCTTATGTGGAAATATACTTCAAATACCAATCTTATATTATGATGTTAAGAGCTAGAGTCCTTCAAAAGTAAGCTATAGTGTTTCTAAATGACCCTTTTAAGGCTATCTGAGCATCGGATGGGTTGATTTGCTACCTTATAGATAGATATATATTTGTCATATGTAGTATTGTTACTTGGTATTCATGTGATTTATATACCTCCTGCTTTACTTTCAATCAGTCCATCATTTTTGTTGGTCCTCTTGATGCTTGATGCTTGAAGTTTTAGCGCTAATGCATGTTGAATTCGCTGAATTGGCCCCACAGTGACTAACACTCCGCACTTTTACCATTTACCATTACCACTCTATAGAGCAAATCAGTAGGTTATAAGAACATGGATTGCTAATGGGGTCCATTCGGTAAAATGAAACCTGTTGGGTCCCTTCAAGAGAAAGGAGTTTCCAAGGGGTCCCATCAAGTAGTTTCCTCACCTTTGCATGGAATAGATGTTCAACAATCTTACTGATACTCGTTACCATCCACCTCATTAAAACAAGTTCTGACATTCTCTTCGGAAAGTGCTTGAAAGTGCTTATGTTGTTCGTTGACTCGTGATCATACGATGACTGTTGTACACGCTTTGCACAACACGTTTACATCATCGGAAGACATTACCTCCCAAAACTAGCCAAGTCAACTTCTGCATCTCTACGCGATGCAGTTTCGGGCGAAGCTGTGCCTCAAAAACTACGGTACGATATACGAGTCGACCTTAAAGTCTTCTAGACTGATTCTGCCCATTGACTGGTTACTGACAATAACGAGAGGGTCTGCACCCCCTAAACATAGTCTACCTGAGGGTTTGAATCCCACTGCATCCTGTTGACCCCTTACCAATCTTCAATGTTCAGTAGGGCACTAGATCTAGCGGCAAGCCCGTTGACGTGCATCCTGCTACATGGGAATTTGACTCTTAGAAGCCAATCTTAAGTGGCATGAGATGCCAGTCGTACACCTCGTTCAGGTACTGTAAGACCAGAGATGATCTGAAAGTCAATCAAATTTTACTCAGATCCTTCTACTTGTGGGGTCTGTAGATTTCGAGCTGTGGTGTGAGAGAATCACTTGAACTGGTCATCGGACAGAAATAGTTGATTAAGGAAGGCTTCGCCCTACAAAGTTTGTCTGTCAAGCAGCTCTCTTCCAGAAATAAACTTGTCTAGTGATTAGCCAAGTGAGGACACTTATTCGAGATTCGAATTTGTCTGGATCTCAAATCTCTGAGATGGTTCTGGATGAACCACTGATCGACTGAATCACACGAGTTTGTAATTAGAATGACAGAGTGAGCTTTTCGGACTGTTCACTGCCATCACACCTTGAGCTATGCGTTGACGACAAGTCTACGCGTTAGCAAACTGCTCAGTCGTTCTACGTAGATGTACTCATTGTTCACGGAATCAGAAGCATGCAGACCAAGCACAAGGGCCGCAGTTGGTGGTAGTGTATATGTTGGCATTTCACAAGTTCATGGGCTGTGTTCACGGCTGTTCGCGTAAGATGGCCGAATCTGATGAATTGAAAAACGTTTGATGCAACGCAAAATCTTATTGTATCTGATCAGGAGCGTAGCGATGGATGAAAGCGAGTCTTCCACTGATGCCTTCTGTTTTGTGAGGTTGTCGGTGTTCACTTTGACCTGTTGGATGATGGCAGCACAAGTTCAAGGATTGTCTCCCGACGGCAAAATATTACTTGAGATCAAGAGTTCTTTCGTGGACATTCCAGGAAATATGAGCAACTGGCTGGCCACAGATGCATCACCTTGCAGTTGGTTCGGTATCTCGTGCCTCGAGGATGGATTTTCAGTACGGTCGATCCACCTCAGTGGGCATGATTACAATCTTTCAGGAGAAATCTCTGCCAGTTTTGGGAAGCTAGCATTTCTGCAGGAGCTTGATCTAGCTTCCAATAATCTGAGCGGCCCCCTACCCAAAGAACTCGGCAATTGCTCTGAGCTACGGTCCATCCGACTCGATTCGAACCCGCTAATCTCAGGATCCATTCCTCCTGAAATCGCGAAGCTTTCCAAATTGCAGCATCTGAATCTATCCCAGCTGCAGCTCACAGGCAAGATACCGATTGAGTTCGGTAATTTGAAGAATCTGCTGAATTTGTCGCTCCTCACCAACAATCTCTCAGGCTCCATACCACCAGCTCTAGGATCTCTGCATCAACTCTCCGTCCTTGAGCTGGCCAACAATTCTCTTTCCGGCCCTCTACCTCCTGAACTGGGCAACTGCAAAAACCTGTCCAGCCTGATTTTATACAGCTTGCAGCTAGATGGGAGCATTCCGCCGACGCTCGGCCAGCTGGAGAAATTACGAGAGTTGGACCTCACGACCAATCGACTGACTGGTGAAATTCCACCCGAGCTCGGAAACTGCACAAGTCTCACGCACATTTACTTGGGCACTAATTCTCTCGGCGGCAAAGTACCGGAGCAGCTTGGAAGACTTCAAAATGTGAAGGTTTTGTTTCTAAACACCAACAGTTTCACAGGAGAGATTCCTGCCGTGCTTGGAAATATGTCCAGTCTCACCAACCTCACGATAGGAGAAAATTTACTTATGGGAGAGATACCTCCAACACTGGGGTTCTTGAGAGATTTGATGTACTTGAATCTTTATGAAAACAATCTCACCGGAAAGATCCCCGGTGAACTGGGCAACTGCACGAAGCTTGACTTCCTCTACCTTCCTTTCAACAAGCTAACAGGGAGCGTTCCACCTGAGCTCGGAAATCTGCGGCTGCTGTCCTCTCTTCAGTTATGGAATAACAGCTTGAGTGGCATTCCTTCTGAACTAGGTAATTGCTCCAACCTCCGAGTGCTCGACATCTACAGCAACAAGCTGGTCGGCAACATTCCACCAGAAATTGCTAAGCTCCCTCGGCTGCGAGAACTTCGTCTGTATGACAACCAGCTCACCGGAACCATCCCTTCTGATCTCGGGCTTCACAGCAACCTCACTCATGTCATTCTTCGCATCAACGAATTGACTGGAACCATTCCACCCGGACTCTGTTCCTTTGGCAGGATCACGATTCTAGATGTGTCGAACAATCTGTTGGATGGTGAAGTGCCAGTTGATGTGGCAAGGTGTCCGACACTTTATCGCCTGCGCCTTCAGTACAATCGACTTACAGGGCCGATACCCAAGGAAATCGGGCAGAACAAAGCACTATTATATTTCGACGCAAGCTTCAACAACTTGAGCGGCAGCATTCCCCCTGAGGTGGGCTTGTGTACAAAGTTGACCGCAGTACTGCTTTCTCAGAACAGTCTAAACGGCACAATTCCGTCAAGCCTGGGCCAGCTTCCACTCCTTGTGGAATTGAATGTGTCTTCCAATCAGCTGAGTGGCTCTATCCCATCCGAGCTTGGGAACCTCTCAACGCTCTACGAGCTGGACTTGAGTGACAACTCTCTGACGGGAGACGTTCCCCTGGAGTTGTCCAAAATGTCCAGTTTGAGATTTCTCAATCTGAACGACAATAGTCTAACAGGGCTTTCAAATATCTGGAGTTCTCTCGGCAGTCTTCAGGGACTCCAACTGGCAGGCAACAAGTTTTCTGGTTTGGTGCATGCCGAGATTGGCACGATGACGTCTTTACAAATAATCCTGGATCTGAGTAGAAATCATTTTTCCGGTCAAATTCCTGCTGAGCTCGGTAGGCTGCAGCTGTTAGAATATCTGGACCTTTCGGTCAACAATTTCTCCGGGGAGATCCCGGCAAGTCTAGGCGACATGGTGTCTTTACAGTTTGTGAACATCTCTTACAACAATCTGTCCGGTGCTCTGCCCTCCTCTTGGGAAGTCCTCTTGAAAACCAGTCAAGTACTGGGAAATCCAGAGCTCTGCTATTCGGGGAGAAATTGCTCTTCTGAATCACCGGCTCAGAGTCCAGAGGGTGACGGGGCTGATAGTATTTCAATTGAGGAAATTCTCGGGCTTGTGGCTACCGTGTTTGCGATTACACTGGCCTTGATACTTGCTGGGGTTTTCATATACTACCGACGTAGAACCAGGTTCGAAAGCGACGAGTCCTCAGCTAAATTAGAGGTCTGGTGTAAGGATCATAAATACAGGGAGCTGACCTTCCAAGCTATTCTTGATGCGACTGGCGAGATGAACAGACATTACGTTGTACACCACAGCAGCAGCAGTACTGTGTACAAAGCTTCCCTAAATAATGGATTGGCTCTAGCAATAAAAGTACTGAATGCGGATTTGAATCATCGCCTAGAGAAAGCGTACAGGATGGAAGTAGAGACCATCGGGAAAGTTAGGCACCGCAATCTCGTAAAGATGATTGGCTTCTGCGAGTGGAAGAATCTCCGGCTCGTCATCCTCGAGTTTCTAAGCAACGGGAGCTTGTATGAGGTTCTGCACGGGAAAGAGGGACAGGGGTTAAGTGACTGGACATCCAGATACAAGGTGGCTGTAGGGATAGCTTACGGGTTAGAGTATTTGCATGCCTATTGCGACCCACCGATCATACATCGCGACATCAAGTCTTCAAACATTCTTCTGGACGACGATTTCGAGCCTCACATTTCAGACTTCGGCAGCGCAACGCTTCGAGACAAGGCGCACCCGAATGGTACTACATCCAAGGTCGTGGGCACACATGGCTATATAGCACCAGGTGAGAAATTGACACTGAGTCAACACATTCCTCTGCAATAATTATAATCCCCCCGCATGGGAATGATTTTCTTGATTTTTAGTTCATTAGGACGTCCATTTATTGCATTTGCTCTGAATATTATATGATCCTGTTGCACATACTTATTGAAGTTGTTGTTCGTATTGTGCTAACAGAGTGCGGATATACACTCCAGCTGAGCGACAAAGTTGACGTGTACAGCTATGGAGTAGTGTTGCTGGAGCTACTGACAGGAAAGCAGTCACTTGATTCCAGCTTTCCAGAAGGAACAACGATTGTGGGCTGGGTCGAGGACCACGTCAAGACGGGACAGATGGTGCACGAGTTACTGGATAAGGCGGTGTTGGAGCCTCATGACATTCAAACGGGGACAGAAATGCTCATGGTTTTTCAGGTAGCTGCTTTGTGTACTAAGAACGTTCCTGCGGAACGGCCGACGATGCAGAAAGTGGTGACCATGCTGCAGCAAGTCAAGGAACCACGGAGAATGTCGGATTTGATGAATACCATTCTAGGTGTTGGAACAAGTGGTGTTGACACTGAGGTGCCTATACAGGAGTAAAGTAGACTGATATGCGTGGAGGACTGTCAATTTTACGTGTCGATGATGTACAGCTCCTTGACAGTCCCTTAGGTGATATAAGATAATACGAGGCCAAGTCCCGTACTCTCCGATACAGACTTTGTACAGCTTTATGCACTTTGAATCCCAAGTTGGAAAAATGGACACAACGTTCAGAAAGATTACGAGAACCACATCCCTCCACTCTTAATTAGCTTGACAATTGACGTAAGGTCCGAGGTTACACTGTAACCTCGGACCTGTAACCGTTACACTCAACAGAGATTGTGTACCACTTCTCCATCACAAAACAGGTGCCTTGATCAAGCCCTTTTTCCAAGTGGGACCCGCTACAGCCATTCCTCATTGTAATTAGTGCGAGTAACTTGTATAATAGAGGTCAAGAGGAGCTTGGACTGCACATCAGTACTGGTTTTCTTATGAATTGGTCTCGCATAAGGAGCCACTGCAAGCACTAGGGACACTTCCTGTGTGGACTGCAGCAGAACTCAAAACAACGTGAATTTGTTTAACTAATATTGATTTGAATGCAAGAAACAAGACCTACAATGTAAGTCTCGGCTATAAATTTTAGAAAGCACATAAGACACTGTTGAAAAGAGCACTGTGGACATGGCAGACTCATTTTATTCCGTAGATAATGTGACGTGCACGCAAGAATATAATCTACGATCTAAAGCTGCTTCTTGTTTTCCTATACGTACACGATCTGGAACCGCCGGAAATACGAGTAGGGAGACGTAATTTCCCTCTTCAGGGATTTAACATGATTGCCTCCAGCCGGCGAGCTCATCTATTTGGTAATACAGCAGGAATCTAAGGTATGAGTGCATGCACTAGCCCAGTACTTTCCAAGGGCAAGTGTTGACTCTATGATAGCAGGATCTAGCAGCTCCACTTCCTCTCTGTTGTAAGGTTTATATACAGTATGAGGCAACTTGCCTCGTACTGTATATAAACCTTACAAAAGTCAAAGTCTTCATGTCTTGCCTCAGGCAAGATATGAAGACTTTGACTTTGACTATTAAGTTGTCGGTCTATCTCAGATAGGCTATCTGATATACTGTGGGAACCTTGATAAGTCAAAGATCTAAAACTACTGCATAAAATGGCAGAAAAGTGGCGTTTCACTTGGAAGCAAGTGCAAAGTCCTTACGCTTCCGTGAATGCTAAGAAGAATCCAACTGCATAACTAGTAGTGCAGTTAGATTTTGATGGATGCATGGGTTACCGGAGTGATAGGGGGAGAGCGGAGAGTAGGTTAGGACGACTGGAATAGTTTTTCAGATATTCTGAGGATATAATTTTCGAAAGTCAAGAAAAAATGAGAGTTTTTAATAATATTTGCAACTTTATCTTGTGTGCCATGTAATTATAGCACTATAGAAAGTTGTATAGATCTGTATCAGTGAGATTATTTTTTTTTGAAGTTTTGAGTGATTTTCCTCAATTAGGATGGATAACACTAGTCTCATATTCCAATCATTTTTCTCTCGTGCTTTGATTTTACTACATCATATTTGGATATTATAGAGAAGGTAAAAGAAAATTTTCAGTTATTTTAAAATTTTTGGCTTTTGATAGTCGTCCAGAATCCATAAGGAGATACATGATGAAGGAATATTTTTTGTACTTATTATGCTCTGTGTGATAGTTATTATTTCCCTCATCCATGTCTTTTAGCAATGACTTAGAAAGCATGATATTTGTAATATCGAATTTTAACCTTGAATTTCTTAAAAGTCAAAGAAAAAGCAGATCATCATATAAATTTGTCCTCTTTGTCTATTCGAGGATCACACCTGCTACACCATCAATTTTAAAGTTGATCAATTTACATAAATTGATCGGATTGTGTGAGAGAGAGGCTAACAGCTTGATAAAATTTCCAAATTTATAAAGTAGACTCCATAGTACGCTCCATTACAAAGCTAGATTGATTTGTTGCTTATCAAGGAATGAAATGGCAATTACTTTAATAATAATTTAGTATATTTATAAACTTTTACTTCCACACTTGTATCTACGTTATACACAATGAGAAGACTGCTAGATCTAAAAACATTCAGAGCACGAGTATATGTTACAATGCATGAGAAATATATGAAAACAATACATGTTAGGAGTCAAATTCAGAGGTATGAAAACCTAATGAAAAGTGGCAGAGTTTTGAATACATCGAAGCGATACTTGCCCTTGATCTTCAATCCATGACTAGTCTAAACTATTTTATCTTGATGTTTTACAAGAGTTTTCCAAGTCATTACGTATTGATTTATTAAGATTTGATCATTTTCTATTTATAGCCCCACACATGTATTCATCACGCTTGTAAGGGATAGTAATACAAAAAATTCCAGATTTTTTGACGGCAGATTATTCTTATGGCGGCTTTGATGAGTAATCCTACTGGCTGAATAAATTCTGATTTGAAATCTTGATAAAATTATTCTCTTTCTAAATAACCCGCCGAACTTGTGTTGGAATTGAAATCAAAATAATTTTTTTTTTGGCCATACCATTAGAATAAAAATCGGCACTCAAGACATAGAAGAACATGTCGTGAGTAGTGAGTGGCTCTACCCTGCCTGCGTACACCTCCCTTCAAAAGGCTACGTGCATTGACGACTCAGTCCCTTCCGGGACTGTCCGTTCAAAGTAGCGTAGTCGCTTGTAAAAGGTCAGGTCTGCGGTTCAGATTTTCAGACTGATCACACCTCAAGGCAGCACCTGGTGAGTGACGTGATATAGTCTACAGCGTTACCTGTCAAATCTAGCATAGTAACCCCTCGTTGAAAAATCCTCCAAAGCATGAGAAAAGTGAATACCTCTTTATCGTAAGAGTCAGCAACGAAAGAATTCAACGTAGATAGATGCTTCGCTCCCGACGTTATTCTTGTGAGGTGCCTGTTTTGTCATAGAAAGTAACCTTGAAACATTTTAAGGTTTTTCAAGATATTCGAAGTAGCTGTACCAGATAATGTTACAATAGAAGAGGCTGACAAAGGGCTCGGAACTTCGGAACAACAAGCGTCACTCCTTCTACTGGACATCATAAATTTAAAACCTCTCAGATTCTCTTCTGAACGCATTACAGTAGACTTTTCACATAAAGGGTACCTTCAGAACTTGCCCTCTGCTGACAAAATCCATTATACTAAGGTGCTGCTGACAAATTGCACTTTTGTTACGATATTCTAATGGCGTAACAGTTGAGAATAAGCACAGAAAGTGAAAACACGCCCATCGAGTTGCAGCTTGAGGGAAGCAAATCACTAACTTAGGTCCAATAGTTCCCGGAAATCTCAGGGGAACATATCTTACCAATATAAGAGTAGGGTCTTCGTTAGGTGATAACTTATGCCAAGTATACTGCAATACGACACAGAAATTGTTGTATCTTCAAAACTACTGAAGGTTTTGAACCGTAAATGTCTGGGGAATCGACTTATGGACTAGTGCAGGTGAACATGACTTCTTCTTCAAGTTCACGTCATGGTTCTGGAAGTCATTGTCCGCATGGTCCAGTGTTCTGGTGATGAAAGTCAATCTGGTACACATCCAAAACTTCACAGTGACCGACTCTGGAATTGTCCGTGATAAAATCTGGGTCAGAAATACCGCTAGTTAGAGAAACTGCTTCCTTTGTGCCGGTGGTTTGGCTGTGACTTTTCTACAAACCGTTTATCTCTGACCGGCCCACGGTCCTATCCCATGCCAGTCCTGCCACGCTTGCCAGTGGAGATCGCACCAGCTCAGATTTAGAACGCAATTACTGCCTGTTTCCTCTTGATATTCTTGTAATAAATGCACTTACCACTACCGTGTCGCTTCGAATAATGGATCCATTTCCAAAATTAAATGTTCGTTGTGTGCTTAAGGACCATACAACGATTTTTGAGAGAAGAACTTCAATTCTTGGTTTCAGTCTTGGGGTCTATTTTGGCCAGTAAAGTTTGTTGGCGATTCAATGTTTGCAAACAGCTTTCTGCATTGAAATCGATTTCAAACAATCAAAAGTTGTAATGTAGACCAAATATCCACACTCAAATGAGCTTATCAAATAAAATATAAAAGAAACATTCTGTTTACTTATGCCAATGTAAGTGATTGCTTTGCAAGCAATCAAGTGCAACATCAATTAATATATCTTTGGATCTCCAAAGTATATTTGAAGATTTGTTGAAGTCCAAGAAACTAGAATTTTTGTGGCGAAAGCAAAAGTAGTTGTAGAAGTAACTCGAATTTTTTTGGATACTATTAGCAGTAGGATATTAAAAACTGTACGATCTGTTCAGGGCCGGATACCGACGGAATTCGGAATATACTAGCACAACACAATGTATATATGCCTCATTGGCTCCAATCCAACATTTGTAGATGAAAAAGAACGAGACAACGAGATTCACCTAGGTTCAGACCAAAAAGTCATACTTCTTGCTTGGAGAGTGTTTCCACTAACAAATAATAATCCGAGATTACAAAGATTACAAGCCCCCACAACTTTCTCTTCTCTCTCAAGGATTTTTTCTCTCGGCTTCCTTTGTCGTCTCTCATACGACTCTCGGCAGCACCAACGCGATTCAACCACTCTCTTCTCCGCTGCTCTGCTCTTACTGTCTACTAGCTAATTGACTGACCGTCTGTCTATCTATCTGACCATCTCTTGGCTTGTGAGGAAGGGCGGTGGCCAATCCAGTCTGCAGATGAAGAGGTTGCAAGTGGTGTAGCACAAATTTTGGTCCCGTAGAGAAAGCACCTTCGGCTGGTAAACCTTAAAAAGCCACAGATAGGCACCGACTCAGATACATTCATGTACTTGCTCCGTTTTGACTAAAAATTGGCTGACTAAGATCATGTAACGACACAGTTTGTCGCCTGATATCCCAGTACGGCCGTCTAAACCACAAACTTAAAGCCACGTTCACAAATCTCCACCTTGGCTTTAAGGAGAACTGACAACGAACAACAACCCACACCACCGAAGCAACCGTACAACCACTCTTCACGTCCTCCTCTAGTTGCTCAACTTCGCAACATTGATCAAGTCGCAACAATGCTGAAACTTGATACCCGTCACCAACTTCGTAGTCATATCTGCTGTATTCTCGTCCGTGTGCACTTTTTCAACAACCATGGACCCCTCGACAACCACATTCCAAATGATGTGTAGCTTTATATCGATGTGCTTCGTCCTCTCATGGAACATTTGGTTCTTGGTCAAGTGTATCGCGCTTTGATTATCACAAAACAACTCCACTTCATTTTGCACGATCCCGAGCTCACCGATCAATCCCTTCAACCAAAGAGATTCCTTCATGCCTTCCATGGTGGCAA